TTTTAAATCTCATATTGATTTCCCTAATGATATATTTCTTTTAACACGACCAATTCTAATTTGTTTCTTTTTTTCTTTTCATTTACAACGTACATATATAACCCTTTTCGAGAAGTATAATTTTTCAATAAAACAATTCGGGAATGTGCCAAAAAAAAAAAAAACAAAAAGAAGTAATTTCATTAGTGTTACATTTATTTGACCTATACAAAAATATTAATCAGCATTATCCTTATATCTTTATTTCAAATTCTTAGATTCTTAGAAAGATATCGCAAGATTAAAAGAAAAGACATGTAGAGTGATACGCGGAAAGGAGATTATGCGTTCGATGGAATGAAGCACGTGTAAGTACTGCTTCAGGCAAACTTGAAAACCGAATGCAGGATAAAAGAGAGGTAAAATGAGAGATAGAGAAAGAGACAGAGAAACAGTGTGTATGTATGTGGTTAAAGAGTTGTCTTTGAGTGAGTCGTAGAGGAAACTGAAGGGTGAGTCAGATACAGTAAAAGAGAAAGAGAGAGGGTAGGGGTTGAAGAGAGAGACAGGAGAAGGAAAGATAGAAAGAAAGAGAGAAAGAGAGATGGTATATGTTTCATGATACTCAGTAATGCTGTCGAGCGTGTACTTACACACTACGGTAAGATTCTTCATGGCGGAGTTTGTGGAGAAGGTCGGTGCATCTGCAGTAACTTCGCAGCTGAACGTACCCGAGAGAGCAAAGTCGACGTTGTGTAGTGTTACCTCGTTGTTGTTGGACTTCCCAGCCTGAAAACCACACATTGAAAATGTACTGAACGTTGTACTTGACTTGCCACCACCACCACCAACAGAAATTTCATTTATAATTTCAACGTTAAACTTATATCACTAATTTTGGTATCATTTGTTGTTTATCGTAATCTTAATAACAACTTAAATATTTGTTTCTTTTATTCGTATAATATATATTGTAATTTTTTAACATTCAATAGAGATTTTTTTAAAGTGTCGACACCATCACCAACCCCACCACCACACGGATACAAGAATTTCATTTATAATTTCAACGTTAAACTTGTATCACTAATTTTCGTATCATTTGTTGTTTATCGTAATCTTAATAACAAGTTGAATATTTGTTTCTTTGATTTTCGTATAATATATTTTAATTTTTAACATTCAATAGAGGTTTTTTTTGAAGTGTCGAAACCACCACCAACCCCACTACCACCACACGGATACAAGAATTTCATTTATAATTTCCACTAACTTATATCATAAATTTTGGTATCATTTGTTGTTTATCGTAATTTTAATAACAAGTTGAATATTTATTTCTTTGATTTTCGTATAATATATTTTAATTTTTAACATTCAATAGAAGTTTTTTATTAAAGTGTCGCTTGATTTATCAATAATTTTGGATTTATTTATAATTAACGTTTTATTCATTTATTTTAATCTTTTGTCAGTATTATATTATATAGGTTTCGTTTTTGATTAGTTTTTGGGCCTTGTTTTTCGTACTTTTTAATATACTCCAAAAAAGATTGTGATTTTAAAATTCATGCGAATTTTCGAAACTTTCAATTTGATCTGTCAATCATTTAATTGTCCAACAATTTTTTTTTGCATATATATATATTTTACTTTTTTTTTTTAATCAAATAGAACAATTCCGTAAAAATATATTTTTTTCATTTCAATGATAAAACGTAATAATACTTCATCAAATATATTCGATAAAAAAATTTTTTTTTTTTTTTTTTTTTTTTTTATTCATTATAGAACATACGATCAATTCTCGACGAGAATTATAAGTACTTTAGGCTGACGTGATGTAATAACATGAAATGTACATGAATAATATATACAATGGTGAGTGTAGATATAATACATTAGTCTCACATAATATTACGATGTTTTAAATCATTCAAATCTTGTTTTAAGGTCAGAAGGGTAGAACCTTTTTAGTCTTCGTACTAGTTCATTTGTTTCTAGTAAATTTTTTGCTAAAGAGTTGGGATGTTCGGCTAAACGGGAGTTGTAGCGTTCATTGAAGCTAACAATTTCTTCTTTTATTGTAGATATTCTTAAATCTTGATGTATTCTTTCGTTTGTAACGTACCATGGGGCATTGCAAATGTTTCGTAGAGTTTTTGATTGGAACCTCTGTAGAATTTCTATATTGGAGTTACTCGCAGTTCCCCATAGTTGAATTCCGTAAGTCCATATGGGTTTTATAATAGCTTTATAGATAGCGAGCCGATAAAAAAATATCGAATAAAAAATAAATTTAACCTGTATAGCTCGCTTATATTTGTCTTTAAATAAAATTTGTTCTATACATTATTTACGAAAGAATAAAAAAGAATATAAATCAATAAATAAATTCAAAATATTTCGACTAATCAAAGAGATCGTAAAAGATTATTAACAAAAAAAATTATATTCACAGTAAATGTGCATGAATCTGAATAAATATAAATGAATAAATATAATATAAATAATATATAACATATGCATAAATATTAATAAAATTTCTACATTATTCAATATTTTTCCTATAAAATAAAAATATATTTTCATACTATATATATACAGAAATCGTTTATTCCTAAATTAATTTATTAACACGATTGACTAAAAAATATATTATATTTCATTAAAAAAATTTTCCCCTTTAATATGCTCTCGTGAACGTAATTAAAATTTAAATTAATTACAATTCAAATGAAATCGTCGTTTAATGAGATAAAAAAAAAAAAAACAATTCACATTTTAAATACAAAATCTCTACACAATTCTTTTTATTATTTTATTATATATTTATTATTAATATTCAAGTAACAAGGAACGTAATCAAGGATGAATATAAATAGAGAAAAAAGAAATTAAAAAGAGAATGGAAAGAGAGATAGAACAAGACAGATTCATTGAAATAGTTACGAAAAGCATATTCGAGGATACTGTAAGGAAGACTAATTTAATCGAAGGTCTGTTCGAATTGTTTCATTAGCATTTTATCGGTTTGATATCTTCTTTATTGTCGATGGAAATGAGAGAAAGAGATAGAGATAGAGAGAAAGAGAACAAGAAAGAGAGATAGATAAAGCTTTTATTTTCAATATTCGTTTGAAACGTTCGCTAAAGTTCCAATGAGCGCACTTGAGTAAATCAACGTTTTATCAGAAATTATCTAGCACTCGGATAAAATTGACTCGATGAGCCTAAGTGGCGAAGATGAAGGTAAAAATAAAAAAAAAAAGAAAGAGAGAGAGAGAGAGGGAAATACAATCGAAGAAAACGTAGAAGTAAAAAGCGTCAGTGAGGAAAGATTTAATCGGTACAGTCAAAGGATTGTATGCGTAATTAGAGTAAGTTCAAATAACGAACGAAGCTAAGAAATTAAAATGTTTAAATGAAGGGGAGTTACGAAAAAAAGGAAAAGAAAATTAGGGGAGGAGGGGGAAAAAAAATGAAAGAAAAATTAAGGGAATGGTAGTAGTGGTTTGATTCCTTTGAACCGAAATAAGACAAACGTATTTTTCTTATTTTATCTAAAAAGGAACGTAACGGGAGAGAAATAAACAGAAAAAAGTAACTTGGTGTTAGTGTTGTATCAAAAAGAACACACTCCCAACCCCAATTTCCACCCAACCTTCCTTTTCTTTTTCTCGCTATCGTTTTGAAAGTTTCTAACCGAAATAAGAGAAAGAAGAAGAAGAAAAAAAAACTGTCCATTAGTTTTTGTAATTTTTGATTAAAGAAGAACACCGTCAGAAGTTGTATTATTCTTTTTTTTTTTTTCTTTACTTCTTCTTCTATTAAAAACAAAACAAAATAAGAAAAGATAAAACAAAAGGAATGGAAATAAAAAGCGTACGATTTTTATTTTATTATAAATCAAACAGAAGAAAGAAAGAAACTGAGAGAGAGGGAGGGGGAGAGAAGGAATTGAGGAAAACATAAAATGGAAATCGAAGAATAACAAAACAGTTTTCGAGATAAAGTTTGATCTAGTTTCTATTCGATAAAAGAATATCAACGTGAAACAGCAGCAGCACATCATCTTTTCCTTCACCCAATGTTCTCTCCTGTATTATAAAAAAAAAATTGCAAAATATATTGTAAAATAAAGACGAGAATAAGGAAAGTACTCAATTCTCGAGTATTATATTTAAACATTCTTTTTATTTTTCTCTTTTGAGGTTAAACAAAAATAATAACGGAAAAAGCGTATCTTATGCCATGCTTACAAAGTGATCGAAACATAAACGAATATCTTTTGAAAAGGATAAATAAAATGGCGATCATATTGGAAGATGATCCAACGTTGAAAATAACGAACACCATATATACTCTTGAAATGATGTGCTCGCTTTCGCAAAAGAAAAATTGTTTGACAGAAAATGGTGGAAGAGAAGTTCGAAATATTATATTGAAATCATTGTGTAAAAGTAAAGCAGAAAAAGAATTTTTGGGAACAAAGTGAGATACTGTTTTTTGATTTTGTCGTCGATTCAGTGCGATTGTTGCACACTTTTCAATTTAATTTGGTCAAACACGTGAAGCTGATTCTGATGATGCGACTAACTTCATGCTGTTAATTTCATATCAGTGTGCGCGCGCATCGTTAATATCAACTAACTTCATCGTGGTAATTTTGTGTGCGCGCGCATCGTAATATAATTCACTCTTATTCATTTGTTTTTTCTAAACGCGCCGAAAAAAATATAATTTCGCAAAATTGCAATGAAATAGAGATAACAAAAATTGGAGAAGGTAATTTATGTGACTAATGTAGAAGACACTGTGATCACTGATTTTATAATATACTATTTTAATACAACAAAATATGAAATATACTTGTACTCTTTGTCAACAAAATTAATATATAGGAAAATAATATAATAATACATGATAATATAACAGAAAGTAACAAATCGAAGTAGATACAATTAATAATAATAATAAAAGATATAATAATCACTATTAAATTTCTACATATATATAAAATAACGTTAAAGTAAGTTAACAAAATCGAATAATAATAATACGAATAGAAATCAATTGAAAATAAATCGATAAATAATCTAATGACGAACAATAATACACCTAACAATTAATATAACGTTTAATAAAATGATATTTTATAATTTCAAGCTATATGACGTCATGGGGCATCTTCTGACTGATTTTTCTCTCACGAAAAGTAAAACAGAAGAGAATTTTAGGATCGATGAAAGGAGATGAATTTTTTTTTCGATTGTACAGACATAAAACTGTTCGATGAAAGCTTCGAAAAGATGATAAAAGATTCGAAAGGTCGAACGGATTGTTTTACGACGATTAGATCGACGATTAGGTCAAAGGTATTGTTAACGAGCACCGTACACGAGGTGGTAAACGATTCGTCGTTGTCCCGATAAATGCACGGCCATATTTCTTCTATTCCTTTTCTATCCATCTATCTCTTTTTTGTTATCTCTCTCTCTCTCTCTTGCACTCTCTTTGTCGATTTCACATTGCTTCCGAGAAGCATAAATCAAGAAATATCGAAGAACGCGATTCGAACGACTTTATTACTGCTATATATATATATATCATACGTTCACGTTCAGGATTCATCGCAATTTCTCACGCATTTGAATACGAACATATAAGGTGACTCGAAAATAAATCTAATTATTAGTATATTTTAGAATATCTATATACTATCGATGAAAAGTTTTGAATGAAATGCTGTTTATTCGAGTATGCGCGGCGCGTATCAATTTTGTCGAATTTTGAATCAATTGATCGAATAATGTGAATTTTATTTTTAAATGAAATATATATTTTCATATTTGATTATATGTATATTCGCGTTATATGTGAGAAAGATAGTTGAAATATCTTTAACGCGTTATAGAAATTCACGCTGTAGAAATTCATGTTATAGGAAAATTATCTAATGTATATAGAATATCATGTTTTGAAGTTTGGTTATAAGATATCTTGTTTGAATTTGTTTGTTTTTCTTCTTTTTTATTTTTACTCGCGTATCGATGACTCGAGAAACCAAGAATATCTTTTGTTTTCAAAATAACAAAGCTCGTCTTTGTTTTATGGCAAACATTATTTCGATTTGCCAAATTAATGAGTTTAACAATTTGAATTATATTGTAAGAGATATTTTAGTATTATTTTATGACAATAAAAGTCTCGTATAGTTTATACGCGCGGTTTAAAACAATTCTTGAAATAAATATTCTTACTGACATGAGACACTTTTGGCAATTTTTATACAAAAAAAATATGGGAAATATATTAAATTAGAAATACTCGGAAAATTAATCGCAGGGATGGCCTAGAATATGTTGGCTGTCGTGAAAAATGAAAATGGTGTTTTTGATGAAATAGCAATTTAAGGAAAAATATTCCCTTAATAAACAAAAAAAATATAATACAAAATAGTAAAGCATACTATTCACAAGTTTTTCTGACATAATAAATTAAACTCATATCGTATTATAAATATTCGGTTTCTCTGAATTATACGAAATAATTGCAAAATTATGATCAGTAGATTGGTGTAAAATTAATAACAAATTTTGTACTATTTTATATTTGACGCTATTGTTCTTATTTATGGTCATGTAATAGATTTTTGTAAAGGCTTAAATTGGAACTATTGATTTTTAATAACAATATTAATGTTTTAACAAAAATATAAATGACAGCTTGACCAAATCAAATCACATTTGACGATTATAACCGCGTTGTTACAAAATTTAAGGAATAATTCTTTAGAAATTTCATTTAATTTTGTTATTACATGGTAATTTTAGAAATGAAAGAATGAAAGACAAAAAAAAATAAAATAAAACGTGTATTAACTTACTAATTCAATTTTTTACTAATTATTGTAAGTTTTCATTTATCAGAGCATGTTTCTTTTTTCGATGTTCTTACTTTTAAACGATCTTTTCTTTTTTTTTTTCATTTATCGAAATGACTAATGTTGTTCGAATTAAATATTTTAAACAGCTATTATATGACTTTAAGTTTTGTATGTTCCATTTATTTTTTTCATTATTATATCAAAACATTTTTTATAGATATTCAAAATAATTTACGTTTTAAACGAGAGATTACTGAAATACTAAAAATTTCAAAACCATCAGTTGAGAGTTTTGAAATCGGATTAAGTATGATTTAAATGAAAAAAATTAAAAAAAAAAAAAAAAACAAAAAACAAAAAAAAGAAAAAGGGAAAAAAGAAAAAAAATCGGGAAAAAAGAAAAATTGGATTGATTGGATTTCAGTTTGTGATTAAACTCTTGAAACGTAACATAAACGAATTATTTTTCGAGCGTATTGTTACACTCGATGAAAACTGATTTGTAGGAATAAAACGAAATTTAAAAAGTGTTATGGGTAAAAAATGTTAGGGTGACACTTGTTCACACATGTATTTGTAGATTGGTCGAATTTAATGACCTAATTTCAAACATTTGATTATATCAATTAGAGAAAAAAAAAGAAACGAGTTTGATTAGAAGAAAAAACAACGAAAATGAGTTATTAAGAAGATGTTCTGTTAAAAAATCTAACATAAGATGTGTTTTCCTAACAACTATATAAAAATGTTCAAATAAAGTTCGATGAAAGTTGATGTCAACTGAAATCAGGTTTGACGATAATAAATAAGTAAAATGTAAAGAAAATTATTATACAACGAAGAAGACAGCAGGTCGGATGCATCCAAAGTTTTATCGTAAATGACTTTGTAACTTTTTAAAGAAGCCTATCAGGATAGAAATTTATAAAAGAAAAACAAAGAATTATTAAGGTAAATAATGTAGGTCATTGCAATCACGGTGACATAGTCATTTCACTAACACCAAATTTCATTAAAAATGTAATAAATATAAAGAACTTGAAAAAAATTCTTTTTAATTATCATAATCAAAATTAAAAACACACATTCGAATTAATAGCCATTTTCTTTTTCAATATTATTTTATATCGAAAAAATGTTACATGAAATTTTGATTCACCTTCGATTATCCAGAAAAATTTCCAAACACAAATCGTAAACTAAAAGTGGATTGTTTATAAATATTTTGATACTGCAGGAATCAGTTTCCAAATGTAATTTTGCACTCGAAGTATTAAATTAAGTGAAGTTAGATGTGATACGTGTATATGGTGTTACATACAAAAAAATTCACAATTTCTACATTATTTTATACAAACCGATACTATAAAAGGAAATTTACTATTCAAAAAATATACTTGATATATAGTATTTTATATCATTCAAACACGACACTTGTATGTGGTGTCAGATGAACAAAAAGTTCACAACGTTTGTATCGTGTTATATGAACCAACAACACTATACCGAAACATTTGTTAAAAAGTAGTCAAGTTAAAATAAAATTAATTGTATAAAGTGTCGTATAAACAAAAGTCACAATTTTTCTACTTCTATGTATAAACGAATATACAACAAATTATTGTCTGTGTTAATTAAAGTATAGAGACACGTAAAATGGAACACTTGCATAGCCGGTTGTAATACAAATTTTAAAGTTGCAATGTTTGTATTTATTATACATGAACGAATGTTATATCAAATTGTGTATATATCATTCTTAAAACATACTTGACACTCAAAGTTTGAAAGTAGTTCAAGATTAAATAGAACACTTCTAAAACCATGTAAAAACACAAACAATGACAATACCAGAGAGAGAGTAGAACATCTGATTATAAATCAAGTTCTTATTTATACGTCCAATTACATTAAGGGGCACACCTAAGTGTGACCGCCTAAAAAAAAGGTGATTTTTAGAAATTTTTTTAAAGAAAACTACTGGATGAAATATTTTCAAATTTAGAGGATATATTTATACATAATTAACGAATATTCACTAAAATTTTCAAATGAAAAAAGGTCATTTTCAGTGAGTTATTCGCTATCTCCCAAGTCACTAAAAAAAAAAGAGCCTAAACGGATGCAGTGATTCCGGCCTTCACCGTGGATGAAATAAAAAAAAAAAAAAATACTGTTAATCTAGAAGGTATTGCCTATACAATGACCTAAAATAGTGAAAAAAAAATTAAAATTTAACAAAATGGCAGACTTTATAAAAAAAAAAATCGAATTTCGCTCAAAATTTTGATGATTTTTGGCCTGCCAAATTTACATTTTTTATACAATCGTAAAACTTTTAGATCATTGTATAGAGAAACATATCCGAAATAAGCAGGAAAAAAATCAAAGCGATCGGATGATTCTTCTTCGAGTTACAATTGCAGCCAATTTGAAAAATTGTAGTTTTGAGAAAAACGCGTTCAAAGATGAAATAATTGCTTTCTAATCCCTGACCGGCTACTATTTAGAAGACTGTAACTCTAAAACTATTTGAAATTTCAGTATGTTATTTTAAAAGATATAGACTATGAAAATATGCACACAAACAAAATCAATTTTTTTCCAAATTCCACACTAGGTGTGTGTGTCCCGTTAATCTTTACGTAAATATATATATATATAAATAAAAATGAAAAGAAACTTACATCAACGTGTATGCCAGTGATATTAAATATCTTGGTGGTCTGTTCTTCGTTCGGTGAATATCGGTAGAACTCGTACCTACCACGGTACCACTTGACAGAGTAAAGGGGTGCCTTCTCGAGATCATAATGGCAGCGCAGAATCACCTCCTGACCACGTTGCACTGCCTCCGGAACCACTTCCAAGCTGACGTTCCGCAGGCACCTCGCACCTTTGTGGAAAATGAGAACGGGAACGGAGCATTAAGTCTAGTATGCATCATTAGTCCGCCTTTACTCATCATCGTGCTAGGGGGTTAGGTTACACAGCACGCGTCAGCGAGAAATTGCAATTCCACCGAATGACAATTCCTCGCTTTTTTTCTCTCAACCACCAAGCACCTCCCACCCCACCCCTAAACCTCCCCCCTTTATACTCCTACTCGTTTCGTTTCATCTTTATCCAGTACTTTACTCTTTCTCTCTTTTTCTATCGCACCAACAAACACGCACCACCACTAACAACTCTTGTGTGCGTTTGTATTTATTTCAACCACAACCACCCATTCACTCACTCACCCCCTTTTCCTACTTCTCCTCTACTCCTCCTCCTTCTCTCGTTTTCCTATTTTTTTTTCTCTCACTCTGCGAGCCACCCACACCTTCACCCCACCCCCCTCTTCCACCATTTCGCAATGATGTGCAGCAACACGCGATATTCAATCGACTTCGGGGCCCGTATTCTTTCCGCATTTTTTTTTCGCTGACGCTAGCTCGCTCCTTCCGTCGTTTCTTCGGATTATCGACAATTCCGAATCGTTCGATTGGTTTTCTACACTCCCCCCCCCCTCCTCCTCCTCCACTACCCCACCTCGGTTCGATCGACTCTTCGAGAACAGTTCTAATACGAGAATGCTTTTTTTTTATCGAGATGTACGAATCGATTCCTCCCCACTGTCCCCCACCCCCTTTTTTTTTCTTCTACAACGATCTTCTTCGATGAGAATTTTTAATTATTTTAAACTGTAGTCGTACGATGCAGGAAAAAAAAAAGTATATATTCTTATTACTAACTTCAAAATGTTTCTCATTTTCTTTTTTCAATAAACGTAATGATTAAATTAATGTAGTGAGAAGATTTTTTTTTTTTTGATAAAGAAATTATACACCAAATGATTGAAATAAATCGGTGAATAAGTATTTACAAAAGAAAAAAAACAAAAGAAAGAAAGTTAATTAAATATACAGAAAATAATTCAGCGAATATTTCTTTTCAATATTGTAATCGAAAAATATTATTTAAAAAGACCAGTTTAAAACAAAACAAGACCGGGAAGAGTTAAGAAAAGGGGGACAACAAAAAACTGAATTTTTCCAAAGGACAGAAAGCAGGATGGTGGTAGTGGTGGTGGTGGTGTCGGAAGAATCGTAACGGGGGCGGGAGGAAAAAAAAAAAAAAATAAAAATGCGTTTCCCTACAAAGGCCCTAATGCTGGAACAAGTTGGAAAAGCTGTCTTCTTCTTCTTCTCCTTTCATTTAGAATTGAGAAAGGTAGTAGTAGTAGTACGTGGCATATGCTTAAACTTTCCACGAACTACTTTCGAGAAACACGTTATTTCTGAAAGTCTTCCTTCATCGTTCGTTTCACTTCAGTGTATATTTATGTGTGTATGTATATATGTACTGTCCAAAATGTTCATTCCCTATCTCTCTCTCTCTCTTTCTCTCATTTACACTAAAACCTCCTGACCCGTTAAGTTTTTATGCACCAAAACACCGGAATCAATTACGACGACTCTTGACTAATTACTCGTAAAGCAGGCTAATTAGCCAAACGCGTGCTTGTGACCTTTTCAACGTTTCCTTTTTTTTTTGTTTTTTTTCGGAAAGAGGAAGAAGGAGGAGAAAAGAAAGAAAAAAGAAAAAAAGAAAACACAGAGAAATAAATAAGGATAGGTGAGAGATTCAAA